AAGGAGGAGGGAGCAGGTGGCGACGAGCTGAACTGGGCTGGTTGATTGACCATTCGGCGCGAGAATTTTTACTTTTTTCAGACCAATTGAGTGCAACGAGGGAGAAAGCGAGGAACCGACTGGGAAGGACAGCAACGAGAGCGTGTACGGAGGGAGCAGGTCGAGTGGCGTTATGCTCGGGCTGACTACAGCGGCGCCGGACGGAGCAGCGGCACCGGAGCATGCGGGCGACATCGACCCGTGGCGCACGGACAAACATTTATATCTGATCTGTGTTGTCAATTTTTCTCGTTTTTTTCCTGATTTTCGGTGTTGGTTCTATGTGATGACGTCGTCACTGGTTTTGTAGAGAGACCCGTCAGAGATGGCGTGGCTAACCCGGGTGCCTTGGTTATGTGCCTGATCGTGGAAGACCCCTTCAATGTGGAACGATTCTTAGCTAGTGTCGATATTTTTCACTGCAGTGCCTAACACAGACGATCGGGAGAGATTCGGGTGATTGTCAATTGCTGCTATGATGGCTTTGGTTGGTTGTTCTTTTTCACTGTACGGCCGCAGACACATTCTGACAGCACTTCAGACAGCATTACTTACAGTAGCGGAATGCGCTGCGATCATCGCCATCTTCGCACAAGGCATGGTGCACCTCTGCGCAGAGCTCTTCTACGTGGCGTCTGTCCTCCGGCTGTGTTGTGTGTGTTTTTTGTTGTTAGCATCGACCGCGCCAACCGGCTGACTAATGAAAAGACGTTCGTCAGTCAGTGCGGGGTTGAAAACACAAAAAACATCTAAGTCTTCTTAATGTCATCATAACGGGGAACCCGTGAGGAGCCGGCTTGGAGGAGGCTAAACTATTCTCCAGATATAGACAGAAACGGTAGCAACAGAAGGAAACTGCACACGTCTACGAAGGCTGCTACCTTGAACTCCGAGTTTGTTTTTGAGTGCTTTCGCTATCATCATCCTCCTTGCTTTCAACTCCATCGTTCTTGTGAGTGTGTGTAAACTGGGGCTGTGGTGCCAAATCGGCACTATATCGGGGCTTCCCTCAATAGTGCATGCCGGCACTATCGAGGGCGCTGTCCGTGTACAGAGACTTTACCGGACTATACCGGGCACCGGCACTTTTCAATCAGCGCTATAGAGGGTCCAGTACTGTATAGGCCTATGGTCCCCCCTGAGGGTGCACTCATCATGCTATCCCTGGTACGCAACACAGCGCACAGGCTCGCCAGGGCGCAACACACTCGCAGCGCACAGGGTAGGGGGCACGCCGATGCCCAAAGACCCCCCACGTACGGTGCCCTAAAATATAGGATTTACCAGGGCGTTTGAGGGGGTGGTCACTCTGTACCCTCCCCCCCCCTCCCCGAAAACCTCCCAAATAAGATTATTGGACTTAAAAGTTAACAAAGACGCCGACTGATTTATTCGGTTTCCAGATTATTTGCCGAGCTACAAATCCATCTCTATCTTCAACACAAAAAAGGGGGTCCAGGATATATTGGTACAGTATTGAGTCTTTTTGGGACCCAGTAGCCGTAGCCTTCGAACCACAACAAACAGCAGCAGGTCTGAGCAGACCAACGCGCAAGACGCCTACATGCATACCTACCTATGGTGTTCTAAATGAAACTTACAAAGGCGCCCGGAATGACCTGGACTTAGATTGGAGGAGGGTCTTCTACGCAGGTTCGACTGCCTGCCAATCGTCTGGTTCGTACTTTCGTATGCATAAAATAATATTGTTGACTAAATATGGCGTGCCGTGCGGAGCTACATTTATTTGCGTGGCGGCTGAAAGGTAGACAGGGGGAAGATGGCAGAATGAACTTGATTTGTGCGATATGTACATAAATCAGGCTACATCGGGTACGAGAGAAGCCGAGAGTAAATGACAGGGCTCTAGAGTTGGTGCATGCCGGATGATGTACAAAACACCACGACACGATAGGTAAACCCTCTCTGGAAGCCGAATTGAAACCATTAGACTACAGCGCTGACTTCGGCTTCTAACAACCCTGCACTTAAATAATCATTATTCGCTCCAACGAAGAAAACCTGAGCAAATATCCATGCAAACAGCCCCCCTGAACTATTTCACATCGAAGTCGGCCCTCCTCAAAACAACGTACCATACATACCAAACACGCAAACAACACCCAGCGGACAAGCTGACCCAACCCGTCGACAGTCGCAACAGCAGTAGTGCCGCGCCCGCTCTGTCCAGGTAAGTAGATAACACGGTCATACCATTACTCGAGACGAAGGTGGAACATTAGACTAACTCAAGAGTGACAACCCAGGACCTACATACCCGAACCCCGCCTGCTTTCCCTCCCATCCATCCCGGCCGTTCACAACGCTCATATCGTTTTCCATCACACTGCAGAAAATTTCCTGAATTGTAAACAGTACAACGATCCCCCTCTCTGCTATCAAGAGAAAAGTTTTGGTTGTCACAGGTTGAACTCGAAAACAAGGTGCGAAGTAATACATCAAACTTTTAGACTCAAAAACAGGAGTGGGTCCCGCCACCGTATACTTTTAATTTGACAAAGACTTGACAAAAGTTCCCCCTCTAAGCACCAGCAGTTGTACAAGCAGTGAAGCCAATAGGGTACGCTGTGCCCGAAGCCCCGTCGCGTCGCATGCAAACGCCGAAGCACTCTTCTGTGCCCGATCCTGCAGATCGTAGATCTTGACACCCTCCCTGTCCAAACTCTCATTTGTTGCAGCTTCCGGCACCACAAGCCATGACCTGCGAGATCATCAGCCTCTGGCGATGTCACCAACTTGCCATGAACTAAATTCTCTCCTGGAAAAGTGAAGTACAGTAACAGAGGATGCATGTTGAAAGCGAAGAAGCGGGGGCAATTGAAGGACGAAAAGAAGCAAGGACAAACGCTTCGTGGAAAATGATGAATTGGACAAGGTGCAAGTTGGTCACAGCTGATGCAATCTTCTCGGGGGTCAACACCAGACCAGCGAGCGAGCGAACCGAGCAAAGAAACCCATCCCTGCACATGGCCACGTGGTCAAAAACACACAGCACATGCCAACAGTGATCACATATAGTTTGGGTAGAGGGCGGTGGGTGGAGCCATCCCCTCATCCCCGACTTGCGGAAAAAACAAGTTGCCTCCAGCCCATGACCGCGCATCCTCCTACTCTTGCGTGTACGCCGAAGACTACAGACACGACGACGGCCCGCTACCGACGGCACGAGCCACACATTTCTCAAAGGTCACCCCAACCAATCATAGGATATCAACGCAAGGGACCCCACGCTACGTGGTAAAGAAAATCCGCTCTTTTCCAATCGGTATTACCTGTGCTTTGGACGCTACGACTCTGAGGCTGGGGGGCGTTGCAGAATCGCGCCGGCGGCAATCGTTCCGAACCCCGGTACCGTCACCCCGGAAACAGCGGGCGCCGGAGGCCGGGCCTCGAACAGCGAGGGCGGTGCCAAGGACACGTCCGCACGCTGTGGTAGTGGGCGGTCTGGAACTGCCCCCCCCCCGCTCGCACCGTATTCTTCCGCTCGGCTCCACGTCGGCGGGCCTCCCACTGCTGTCGCCCCGACACCGGCACCGCCGCTTCCGATGCTGTTGCTGCTTCCCCCGCTGGCACCCAACCCGCCGCCGCGAACATCACCGATTCCTGCACGCTCAACCCCGGTGGCCGCGCGAAGGCTTCGCGAGGGGTTAGATGCGGCGGTAACGGCGCCGTTGCCGTCGTTCGCGGCTTCCAGTATGCCCCCACCCATGTGTATGTAGGTGACCGCTGAAGGCCGGTTCGGGTGCGGAGGGCCCGCTGGGACGGCGGCCTGTGGATAGCTGTGCTGCTGACGCTGCTGCTGCTGCTGCTGCTGCTGATGCTGATGCTGCTGCTGTCTAGAGAAGGATGAGCTTGACGCAAAATGCCGCCTCTGCTCTACAGCCGGGTCTTGGGACGACGGCGGCGGTCTGCCGGCGGCGCCGTCGCTTACGGCGTTCGCGGCGACGTGCAACGCGTGGAGGTTTGCGGTTGGCGGCACCGGGGGGGCGGACCCCTCCGATACCACAGGCCGACCGTGTTGGCGGCCCTGAGAGTCCGCCGTACAAGCATCTCCCTGATTCTGCCATTCCACCTGCTGTGGAACCGAAGCCAAGCCTCTTGCAGGCCCACCAGTCGGCGAACGATGGCTTGACCACCGTGCGGTAGTGGAAGCCGACGCCGCTGCAGAACCCTTAGCAGCAGCGGCGGCAGCAGCCGCGGCTGCTGCCGCATCGCTAGCCGCCGCCCAGACCTCCGCCCGCTTTGCTGCCTCGGACGCGGCCCGCTCGACGCTGGTGGTGCTGTTCCTCTGCTTCTTTTGTTGCAGCCTTGGACCCTCCGCTACACCTCCACCGCCGCCGGCCTGCGCTAACGGGGGCGAACCTGCAGCGTGGGCGTTACCGGAGGCGCGGTTGACCTTCGGGTTCTGTTTTCCGGACGCCGAAGAGTCTGCTGCGGACTGCTGTAGGAGAAGCTGCATCCCCTGCCGCTCCTCATCTGCACATCACGGGCCGAGGGGAGGGGGGGGGGGGGGGGGGG